CTTTATTAAGATTTGTGATTTTTGAATTTTTAAAATTGTTTGTATTAACAGAAATTACTTGTTGATTAAAAGTATAGTAAAAAAATTAAAATAGAAATTACATTTTTATTACTTTTATTATTATAAGTAATATTATAATGTGAAATCTAATTTTTGACTTCTAAAATTATCGGATTATTTTTTTTCTCATTTTATGAATAGAAAAAAAGTAGAAATATGTTAAATATTTTAATGATGAAATTGTAACAAAAGCAGGGATAAAATAGACATGTCTGCATACAATTTAGCTCTATGTGGAACAACTGGACAGAATGGTTAATTTCCCAGTAAAGCAAGATTTCTAATTCTGGACTAATTAGCCGAATCAAATGCTCTGTACTATTTAATATTGAATCAAATTTTAGGATAATGTTAGCTTTCCTTTTTGTTATTGTTACTATTATTATCATCATCATCATTATTATTATTTTTATTATTTTAATTATTATTATTATCTGTATTAATAATTTTGCGCATAAGCGAAGTTATTAACAAAATTTAATAATGAGATACTATTGTTTTTAATTGTGGCATGAATGGATAAGCAAAAGCTGCGATTTTGAACTGTTAATTAATTTAATGAATTGATTTAAAAATAATTTGTCCCAATGCTATTTGTGAAATTGTAATTATATACTATCATTTCTCATCCTTATAAAGTGATTATAAATAAATTGTAATATTAAGTTTGCCAGACTCCAATCAGACAATTTCATAACTAGTTTAAACACGTAGCCGTCCCTCTATACTTATATATATAAATCAGCAAAGTTAATAAAATTTGATTTTCGAGTTTAAAGCTTAAATAACTTTTCTAATAAAATTATTATTTCATTTTTTAAATAAATTACATTTTATTGACTTTTTTTTAAATACAAGAAGGAAATTTTATTTTTTGAAAATTTAAATGTTTGTTTTATAATAACAGATAATAATATGAATTGTAATAATAAAAATAAATATAAATAAGTAAATAAATGGTAATATTGCAGAATAAGGAAAATAAAAATTATAATCAATAATAATAATGATTAATAATAAATTAACTATATAATTATGTTGGCATTTTTTGCTAGAATTTAATTATTTTGCTAGAAATAAATTATTTTGGTAAATAATAAAATTCTTCGAAAGAATGTAATTATTTTTATAAATAACAACATTATTCTCAGTAATTCAATTATTTTCAATAGGGGAACATAGTCTAGGTCGGCCACCTTTTTGACTTTTGTTTATAACTTTTTTTTAAAAATGAATTTGGACAATTGAAGTATATGGTTGGAAAGTCCTGTTTAATAGGAACATTTTTTCTGTACAAAGTAAATTGACAGGTTTAAAAATGAAAAAGTTATAAAGATTTAAAAAAAAAAAAATTTGTAGTCCAGGTTGGCCATTACAGTCAAGGTCGGCCATGTTTAAAATTCAAAGGGCATTAATCGTTAAAAAATAAAATAACATGTTTGGAGTTACGGAAAATTGATTCTTTATTGTTTACAGTTTGTAACTTAATGAAATAACAAAATAATAACAATAAACAATATACAAAAATAAATATAAATAAAAAAAAGTTTTGCACTAAAATATTAATAAAATTAAATAAAAATATTAATAAGATGATCAATTATATTATGAGTTATACAGAATTGCAGTTTTTGCAAATGAAGTAGCTCGTCCTCAACTTTGCGCATTTTAAACACATAGTGGCCGACCTTGACAGTAAGTAACATTACCGAATTGTTGTAACCATAAAGAAATACGTTTCGGGATTCGATTTTTTACTTTGTTTTCCTTTCAACCATGAGTCCCACAAATTTTCTGCATACTTGCCTTGACGATTCAATTTGTTTTTTATCTTTTATTAATGGTTTTTCACATTATGCACAAAACTTTTTTTGAGCTTTTTTTGTACCGACGTCACAGAAAACACAATTTTCGATTTTCCGAAAATGTAATTGAACAAAAAGTTAGGTTTCACTAAGACAAGCTTCGACAAAAATGCGCGTAGGTGGCGCTAGTGAACTTGACAAAAAAACGCGAGTGGCCTACCTAGACAGTAGGCCAACCTTGACTACATTCCCCTACAATTATTATAGAATTTCTAAAAAAATTTCAGTTATTTTCATAAATTATAATAAGAAATTCTGAGAATAATTCAATTATTTGAAAAAAAATTTTAATAAGATTCAATAATCAAATTTTAATTAAAATAATGAACAAACACGATTATTTTAAATGTTAATTGAAATTCTTTGTAAAATAATTTTTTTTTTAAATTTCCAATTAAAATTATTTAGAAAACGACATTATTTTCAAAAAACTTATAGAAAATCTTTAAAAGAATTTAAAACTAAATTAATAATTTTAATAAAATTTAATAATTAAATTATTAATTAAATTTATTAACAAAATCGATTACCTATATTAAAAAAATTAAAGAATTTTTTCAAAAGAATTCAATTATATTTAATATTATTAATAAAATGTCTCGAATGAATTGAATTATTTAAAAAAAATTGTAATAAAATTCTGGGATGAATTCAATTATTTAGATCCAAAAAAATGTAATAAAATTCAATAATTAAATGTTTCATTACAATTATTAACAAACATGATAATTTTAAAAACTTGAAAGAAATTCTTCATTAAGTTCAATTTCTTTCAAAATTTTCAATTAATTTAAAATTAAAAGAAAACTCCATTATTTTCAAAAAATTTAAAGACATTCTTCTTAATAATTCATTTATTTTCAATACATTAATTTTTAAAAATTCTCATCAAAATTTCAATAATCTTTAGAAATAATTAAATTCTTCTCGGAAATTGAATTATTTTCAAAAATTTTAATAAAATTCTTAGCAAAATTTCAATTATTTTCAAAAATTTTCCTCAATTCAATGATTTTTAATAGGTATCTACTATATATTCTAATAAAATTTTCCAAAAGAATTTAATTATTTAAAAAAAAAAAATTAATAAGATTCTACAAAAGCCTTTAATTATTTTCAAAAAATAATAAAAATTTCACAGGAATTTCATTATTTACAAATTTTTTTTATAAATTTTTATGCAATCATTCAATTATTTTCATAAATAATAAAATTTTTACGCAGGGATTCGATTAATTTGGTAAATAATAAAATTCTTATTAAGAATTCAATTATTTTGATAAATAATAAAACTCATTACAGAATTTCATTTATTTTTAAATACAAATTTTAATCGAATTCCTCCAAAAAAATGTAATTATTCTTAAAATTGTTATTAAAATTCAGTCAAAAGAATTCAATTATTTAAAAATTTATTTATAAAATTCTTTATGAGAATTCATTGTTAAGAAACAAGCAATTATTCAATATATTGTTTTTTTTTTGTATTTAAATAATTGAATTCTAGGAGAATTTTCTCATGAAAATTGATTTAAAAATGGATTTCAGTTAAAATTTTTGATTATAATTGAATATTAAAAGCATTAAAAAGTGTAAATTTTTAGAAATAATTGAATTTTGAAAAGGTTTTAGATTAAAATCTTTGAAAATTTGAATTTTTCATATTTTTAACTAACAATTCTGTGGAATTAATTTTTTTTGAGAAACTTTAATTGCGGATTTTTTTTTTATATTATTTGAAATTTTTATTTTCTAATATATATTTAATTGAAGAATTTACGAATAATTGAAATTCGGTAAAATTGAATATTATAAACAAATGGATTTGAAAATTGTTAAAGAACTTTTTTGAAAATTATTAAAAATAATTGATTTTAAGAAGAATTTTAGTTAAAAATTCTTGAAAATAATAATTATATTAAAAATTATAATAAAATGATTATTAATATAGAAGATTATTATTTATTTATTATTTATTTATTATTACTGCATTATTATTTACTTACTTATTAGGAGAATAAATTCCCTGTTATAACTATTATCTAAATAAAGAAGTAAATTATAATAATAACAATAATAATGACAACAACAGTTATAATATTATATCGAAAAATAACCGTTGCAATCATAATATTAAACGAAATGAGATTAAATTCAGTGTGAAATTGGGTCAAAAGTTGAATTGATCCATTTTTTCCTGTGAATGGTAATCAGTAAATAGCTTCTGTGGCGACTTTCTGGAATGGAAAGTATGAGCATTGACAGATGCAAGTTTGAGCTTGATTAAAATTTAAAGTCTATTTATGTACCAAAGTCTAGACTCTGGTATATGAACAATTATAGACTCTGAATATTTTATTGGGGAGATAGTGTTTTTTTCTTCAATTAAAATAGTATTAACAAAGAAACACGTTTAAACAAATTTTAATTTTAATTTATTATTTATATTTCAATAAATAATAAACTTGTTGAAATGTAAACTGAATGCTTAGCTAATATAACATGTGATGAAGGATCGAAAATTTTCAATGTTACATTATTATGTTAATTATGTTAATTATTATCGAAATATTGAAAAGAAAATCATTTTTCAACCAATTTTAGAGAAATTGATAATATAGAAATTAACTAATGTTAAGATATGTAAAATGTGTGACAGATATTCAATACACGTCGTTCATTATAATGTAAATTGTTGTATGCACGACAAAATTAATTTTAGATTGGAGTTGAAATTATATTTCTGGTTATTTAGATACTTGCGTGCAATAATTGCAATAATGTAAAACGTATAATAATAAACATGGAAAATAAGAGACAAGAGAAAAGATGCGTAATATTTTATTTAAAAAATATATTTCATCTTTTGTTTTGTTTTTAGTTTTATTATTTTATTTTAAATTCTTTTTATTTAGAGTCGTAATTTTATTTTATTCATTTTGTTTAAATTCACTATTCTTTATTTATTATATTCACAATTTTATTATTCTTTTTTTCATTGTTCGTTTCATTTAATTCCATTGTTCTTTTTATTATTTTTACAATATTAAAATTGTCAGTTCATTCATGTTTCAGAATTTGAAATTCGACGGACCACTCGCAAAGAGAGAGAGAGAGAGAGTGAGTGAGTGAGAGAGAGTGCCTGAAACTTTTTTCATATCAGCAGCCAAAATTATCTCGCGTTTCCAGAATTGCTTGGTGAGTATGTATTTAGTTTGAAAACTTCAAGTACTCTTTCAACTTCATGAAACAAGCGAAACTAACTGCCTTCTTCAAATAAACTTTTCCCCGTCTTGCATTTTGAAAGAGACTTTGAGAAATATCAAGTACCAAGAGATGAGCTAAATATCTCGATGCATAAGCTTATAGAAATTGAAATGATTAATGAAAAAGATATTAAAAGTGCATTGAGGGTAAGGGGTTTTTTTTTTTTATTTAAAAAGAAAAATATATCATTTCTAAAAAAAAAGGTGGAAAAAAATTTAAAAGAGAATAATACACTGATTGTTGAGTGGCACAAATTGAAATGAATTCGGTATATGTGTCACAGTGAAAAGTATTAATGAAATTCACTGATTTAAATTAAAAGCGTTTCAAATAACTATTTCAAATAGAACTGATGTTTCACGTCAGTATATTGTTAATTTGAACATTTTTCAATGGTTACTTTATATATATATAGGTATTGATGGTGAAATTTATTTTAATTAAAAATTTATTAACTTTGAATTTAAAAGGGTAGAAGAGTAATTTTTCTATTAATAAAAATTGGTTTAAAATAAGTTGGATTGTCGTCTTTTCCGATGGAGGTTTAAATTTATCTCACAAAATTTAAATATAATTTATCGACTGCAAATGAAAATTGAGATGAATTTCTTAATATCATCCAATTTTTATCTTAATCTTTACTAGATTTTTCTTTCTATTTTAATTCAATTTGGTAATTTTGCAATTACTATAATCTGATTTGATATAAAATTTTTTTTTTAATTTTACGAAAAGTTTTTTGTACTTTTCGGAGTTTAGTCAATTTGCAAATTTCAGTTTTCTGTGATTTGCAGAGTAGTTTCGTATAGAATGTTTTAAATTTTCAGCACTATAATTGCAAAATTATTCAAAGTAACTTTTAATCTGTTGAATGTAGAGATTCTGCTGAAAATTTGGAACATTCTGCAAAACTGCGCTTGGCAAATAAAGCGAATTTGTATTTTGTGAATAGAAATATTAGAGAGTTTATTAAAAAAAATTGCTAATATTGAAGAAGAAAGGAACAAAGTTCCGGGACACTAATATTAGACCAAAATTTTTTTTTCAATAATTAAAGTTCTTAATTAAATTTAAAAATTAAATTCTAAATTATGATTATTACAAGTAAAATACTAATTGTTGTAATTAATGATAATATTATTGAACAATAAACAATAATAATAATAAAATTTTTTAACAATAATAATGAAACTTTCTGAATTCGTGAGAAATATAAAATTAAAGAAATAAAAGTTAAAATTATATTGGAAAAGTAATGAAGAGATTGAGATAAAAAAAAAATTTGATATGAAATAAAAAGAAGAAAAAAAAATTGAAATGGGAAGTAATGAAATTGAAAAAAAAGAAAAGGTGAAAAGTTTGAAGCTTTTAGTTATCACTTTTCGACAGCTTTTTTGAGAAATTCTTTTCACAACGATCCGATGATGTCGGTCATTACTTCTATTATCAGATTGCATTCACCTCTCTGTTAACAGGCGAGAATGTTTGAGCAATTCTCCCCTGAGAATTATAAAAGTACTTTTTGAAATATTCTATCGAACGTACGGAGAATACTCCATGCATTATATTTGGAAAATATATGAAAATGTGAAATTTCTCAATCCGTTGTAATGAGGTAGAAATACGTGACTGGTGATAGCGTCTTTTGAATTGGCTTTGTAGAGACCAAATATATATTGTCTTATCGTGAATCACTTTATTTAGGTGCATTCATATTGTAATTTTATATTATATTTTATTTTAGTTTTTCTTCTTCTTTGATTGATATAAGTTGATGAAAATTTAGTGCATTATTTATCGTACAAAGATATTTTAAGTTTAATTTTAACAAAATATGTTTGATTCAAATATAGGGTTTCTAGTAGTAAATGTCAATTTTAGTCAGACATTTTTTATTTTCTCTGACATGGAAAATTCAGGGAACAGTCAGAGAATTTTATCAAACTGGAAAAATATCAAATTTTTAGAATTAATAAGAAAATAATGATTTTAACACTCGATACTCTTTAATTATTGTAAAACATGAAGAACTCGAACACTTCGAGTCTTCGACTCGGAGCAATCGATATCTTCATGTCTTATAAGAATATTATTATTAGTTGTTAAATGTCAAAAATTTTTGAATTTGAAATTTTCTAAAATTCTATTTCCTATGGAAAAATAATAATGATTAAATATTTATTTGAAAATAAAGTTTTATTGGTGTTTTTGAATAATTTCACAATAGAAATTCGTAAATAAATGCAGGGCTCGAACTAGGTCCGTAAATCCAGTAAAAGTCCTTAACTTCGCTTGAAGTCCGTAAAAGTCAGTTTTTTTAAAAAAAAGGTCCATAAAGTCCGTAATTTAATTGAAAAAGAACGAAAAGTTTGTAAATCGCACGATATAATTTAGAAAATTTTAGAGAAATTATAAATGAACACAGAAATTCAATTATTTTCAAAGGTAATAAAATTCTTCGTAGAAATTCAATTATGTTCAAATTTTTTTTTTAAATTCTCGTGGAAATTTCAATTACCTTTAGAAATAATAAAATTCTTCTCCGAAATTCAATTATTTTCAAAAATTTTGGTAAATAAAATTGTTGGCAAAATTTCAATTATTTTTAAAAATTTTCCTCTTTTCAATGATTTTTAATATCTACTATTTTAATAAAATTTTCCAAAAGAATTCAATTATTTAAAAAAAAAATTGAATAAAATTCTACGCAAACATTTAATTGTTGTCATAAAATAATAAAAATTTCACAGAAATTCAATTATTTACAAATTTTTTATAAATTTCTTCGTAACAATTCAATTATTTTCATAAATAATAAAAATTTTATAGGGATTCAATTATTTTCGTAAATAATAAAACTCCTTGCTGAATTCCAATTAATTTTAACACAATTTTAATCAAATTCCTAGAAAAATGTAATTATTTAAAAAAAATTTTATTAAAATTCGACGAAAGAATTCAATTATTTAAAAATTTGTTCATAAAATTATTTATGAGAATTGAATTTTAAGAAACATTCAATTATTCAATAAATTATTTCTTTTTGTGTTAAAATAATTGAATTCTAGTAGAATTTTTTAATAAAAATTTATTAAAAAATGAATTTTAGTTAAAATTTTAGATTATAATAATTGAATATTTAAAGTAATATATAGCTTGATTTTTTTAAAACAATTGAATTCTGAAAAGATTTCAAATTAAAATTTTTGAAAATCTGAATTTTTCAAATTTTTAACTAACAATTTTGTGGAATTAATTTTTTTTTTAAAGTTTAAATGAATTTTTTTTATATTATTTGAAGTATTTATTTTCTATAATATATAGGTATGTATTTAATTGAAGAATTTTCAAATAATTGAATTTTTGATAAATTAAATTGTAAACAAAGGAATTAAAAAATTTTCAAATAACTTTTTCAAAAATTATTAAAAATAATGGATTTATCGAAAAATTTTAGTTAAAAACACTAAAAAAATTGAATTTCGGAGAAGTTACAAATTATTGCAGAAATTCAATTATTTTAAAAAAGTAATAAAATCCTTCGCCGAAATTCAATTATGTTCAAAAATTTTTAAATTCTTCTTAGAGATTCAATTATTTTCACAAATAATAAAACTCATCGCAGAATTTCAATAATTTTTAATACAATTTTTATCAAATTTCTCGAAAAGTGTAAATATTCTTAAAATTTTTATTAAAATTCATCTAAAGGATTCAATTATTAAAATATTTGTTGATAAAACTCTTTATGGGAATTGAATTTTAAGAAACATTCAATTATTCAAAATCAATTTCAAATTAATTATTAATATTCATCTAAAGGATTCAATTATTAAAACATTTGTTGATGTAATTCTTTATGGGGATTGATTTTTAAGAAACATTCAATTATTCAAAATCAATTTCAAATTAATTATTAAAATTCATCTAAAGGATTCAATTATTAAAACATTTGTTGATGTAATTCTTTATGGGGATTGATTTTTAAGAAACATTCAATTATTCAAAATCAATTTCAAATTAATTATTAAAATTCATCTAAAGGATTCAATTATTAAAACATTTGTTGATGAAATATGGGAATTGAATTTTAAGAAACATTCATATATTCAATAAATTATTTATTTTTGTATTTAAATAATTGAATTCTAGTAGAATTTTTTAATAAATATTTATTTAAAAATGAATTTCAGTTAAAATTTTAGATTATAATAATTGAATATTAAAAACAATATAGCGCGAAATTTTAGAAATAATTAAATTTTAAAATTATTTTTTTTGGAAAAGTATAATTGAATTTTTTGTATGTTATTTGAAGTTCTTATTTTTCTAATATATATTTAATTAAAGAATTGGCGGATAATTGAAATTTTGTAAAATTGAAAATTGTCAAAGAACTTTTTCGAAAATTATTAAAAACAATTGATTTAAAGAAGAATTTTAGTTAAAAATTCTTGAAAATAATAATTGAATTGATAATGATTTTATCACTCGGTCATCTTTAATTATTATTGTTTTATAGTTATGAAAAATTTAATTTATAGTTTTAAGTAGAATGTTCTCTTATTAAAAAAAATTCTTTTTTAATGTTGTTTCTTCGACAAGAAAATTAAGAAAAAAATAATTCCGTTAAGAAGAAAAATTCGTAATTTTATCCAATTTCTGGATTTTCCAATAAACTCTGATCGTTTTTCCAAAAATGTAATTTACCTCGAGAAGTGTATAGGAAAAATATAGAATTTTCTCTAATAGACTCGAAATTGCAATTAAACTGATTTTCTCTCTCTCTCTCTATTTTTTTTCTTTTTTTATCAAGCTTAAGGACATAATTCAAAAATATTGCACAAGACCAAAAAAGAAAAAAAAAAATAAAAGAGAGAGAGAGAGAGAGAGAGAGAAAGAAAAAAAGAAAAAGCGTCCCAGTGAAATGCTTCCCATCCAGCTTTATCGTATTTCCTAGCAATTAACCCTCCCCAAACCGTTTCCTCCCTTTTCCTTTTAGTTCTCTGGCGATTCGT